TAGAAGTTTATTCTAATTTATTAGATTTGATTTAGGATTTTATTAGATTTAACTATAGTTATGCTTTCTTTAAGGCTCTTTGTGTTTTCATTAGGATTTCTTTAGGATTCTTTTATGATTTATTCAGATATTTTAAAGTTTTTTCTTAGATTTTTTTATATTTTTTTTATAATTTAATTAAAATTATTAAGAATTAAATGATATTTTTTCAATATTATAATAATTTTATTAACATTATTGAATTTTTATATAATATTTTATTAATATTGAATTAAGATTTAATTAGAATCAATAAAAAAAAATTATTAGAATTTTTAGGATTTACTTTGGATTCTTCATGATTCTTTGTGATTTCTTTAGGATTTATTTAAGGTTTTAAATATTTAATTAAGATTTATTGATAGATTAAAAAGAGTTTTTAGGTCCTTCTTTAGTTCCAAAATACAAGTTTATCTTCTATAGCTAAAAGCATGGTGTATTTTAAAACAATATAAGAAATAATATTATTGCATTATTAAGTTTTATAAAGTCTAGCTTAAAATTTACTAAGCATATAATTGCCAAAGGAGGTTATTTAAACCTTAAAGATTTATTTTTTATGCAAAAATGACTGATTGATTTAAATCTACTAAAAAACCCTTATCTCAATTTTATCTAATTATAATCAGCTCTAAAATTTAAATTTACAAAATAAAAAATAATCCATCTAAAATCTTAAGAAAATTCTTATACAACCTAATTATATTCTAAAAATCCTAAAGAAATATTAAGTATTTTTTATCGAACCTAAAAAGTAAGTATAAGTTCTTTTAATAAAATGGGCGTAATATACAATAAAGTTTTTATTTTATCATAACTTTTATTTGTAATTTCTAAAGAAATTTTCTACTAAAATTTTAATTAAAATATTCTAAAATATTAGAATTTATTTAATAATTACTCAATATTTATGTTATAATATTAAAAAGTAAAAATTTAATATCCTCATATAGACCTTAATGATAATACTTATTATAACACTTTGCAAGTACATATCTTAAACACCTTATATATGAAATATTTTATGTCTTGTACATGCTAAATAATCTAAAAGATCTAATATGAAAAAATCAACTTATTGCTAAATACCACAACATTCATTTAAATTTTTTTAAAAAAATTATAATCTCTACATATCAAGGATATGAATTATAGAAAATCAAGATATCAATATATTCTTATATCACTATAAAAGAATAGAAAATTATTCAAAGATACTATAATATCAAATTAGAATGGTTATTACTAAAGATAAGAAAATTAGAGACTCTTGTGACAATACTAAAGACTAGAAAGACAATAAATAGAATTAAGAAGGCTTTATTCTTGTCTTCATATATTCTACATAACTTAGAGCTACGTGTCAATATTCTATAAGTCCATTAATACATGTTTAACTTGTAAAACTTTCATGGATATACATATTTATTCCAATAATTACCTATATAATTAGATAGAAGTAAATAAATATAGATTAATTTCATAATATCTTCTAAAAGAACTTGTTAGAAGCTTCATAGATACAATTTTGACTTTATACGTATTTGTAATTGATTGATAGGTTAAAAACTTGGTCAACAAATTAATCATATTCCATATGTATAGATAGCTTATAGAACAAGCTAACTATGTAGTGCACATATAGAGAACTTGCCTTGCAAATTAAAATACATGACTTGCAAAGTCAATATGTCTTGGAAGTCCTATAGAATATTATCATGTAGCCCTTAATTAGATAATAAATAAGGATCCAAGAGTGAAGCCTTCTTCATTCTTGTGAATGCCTTTCTAGTCTTTAGTCTTGTTTTAAGACTTTCTATTTTTTTGTCTTTGGCAATAGCCATTCTAGTTTAATACTATATCATCTTTGAATGATACTTTAGTCTTTTTGAGAGACATAAGAGTGTATTGACCTTTTAATTCTTTTGATAGTTTGAAAAGAATGCTAATTTATTGTTCTTATCTTCTTTTAGAAGTGAAAGAATTATTCTACTTCTATTATCATATTTTTAAGGTTACAAACTATCTATATTTAAATAAAAAAATATAATTTTATAACACTAATTTTTTTCTCAAAGACAATAGATTATTTTTCATTGTAAAAAATTTCATTTTATATTAGAGATTGTAAGATACTCCATTCCAATTTAGTTTTTTGAATTTATTTGAATTATTTATAGAAAGAAAGATTGTAGATGACACTCTCAATTGAAGTGAAGATAGATTTGTAACTATTGTAGATCTTCATAAATTTAATAATATTCTAAAAATAGAAATTTTATATATTTTTAATATAAATTATGGAGGTACTATTCCTACACATATGTAAAAATTCCAAAGTCTATGCTAAGAAATTGTGCAGTTGAAGGAAGTAAGTAGACTAGCTTTACAATCAAATTCAAGAAGTCTTGCTTCTACAAATACAAGGGAGGCAAGGATTAATATGCTTGAAAATTTTGATGGAACAAGATCAAAATTTTGAGGATTTCTACATCAAGTTAAGATCTATTTAAGATTAAATCCTTTCCAATCTCCTAATGGATTTATTCAAGTTGGATTCATAAGTGCACTTTTATTGAAAAGTATCATCTCTTAGTTTGTACCTTTGATGGAAAAAGATGCAAGACCATTCTTTGTTTTGACTTCATTCTTAGGAGTATTTATGACTATATTTTAAAAGAATTATTTGAAAAAAAGTAATAGAGACCAAACTTGTATCACTACAATAAAGATCACGTTTAGCAACTACATATATTGCTGAATTCCGAAATTTTGCTTGCGACATGGTTTGGAATGACAAAATCCTTATTAATTAGTTTTGATATAGATAAAAAAATAATATCAAAGATTTATTCTTGACAATTTCAAGAGTGGATTCATTGGAGCAATTTATTACTCAAATCATTGCATTTAACAATTAACTCTTTGAAAGATGTTAAGAATAACAATTTGGTTGGAGAAGTATAAGTCAAGCTATAGCGACATCTTCTAAGTTTTTGGAAGCTTATTTTTCCAGACTAGAGCCTATATAAATTGATATAGTATATTTTGAACTTCTTATTGAGTAAAAAAAAAGTTGTTGTCAAGAAGGTTTGTGCCTATATTCTAGAGAATCTAAGTTCACTACTCAAAATTATCCAAAAAAGCAATGCAATCACAAAATAAGGAGCATGGTTGCCAAAGAGGACGATGTGTTGGAAAACAAGTTTTTTTAGCTATAATAGGGACCATGCAACTAAAATCTTATATAATATTTAATAAAGATTATATTCTTTCTTTAGATCAAGTATCTTGTTTTACAATAGAAGTTTATTTAGTACAAAAGAATCATAAAGTCTTAGCCCTATTAGATTCAAGAGCCTCAACTTGTTTTTAAAAGTGAAGACTTTATCAAAAAGCAAGAGATATTGTTAGTCAAGAAAATTAAATCCATATATATAAAAGTCTTAGATTTGTTTTCTTGTAGAGATGTTATCTATGAGATTATTTCTAAAGATGTACCACCTTCCCTTTTGTCTTTCCATCTTCATCGCACTCTCCACCCCTTCTCTATAGGTATTTACATATACCTACACCTAGTCCTAATATACTTATTTACTCATAGATGCCTACAAAGTAATACTCTAAGATCTTGGACATAATATAAATGCACAAATTCTCCTTAGTAATCTACATCCAATATTGAGAGGTTGGAATTTCGGTGTATTTTGAAGTTAAATTTATTATATAAGTGTTGTTAATATATAATTGCCTTTGTAGATATATAACAAAGTAGAGTTATTAATACGTGTATAAATACATTTTGTTACCTAAATTAGTTATGGATATAATACTACATAAGTTATAATTTTAAAAGAAAAGCTAAATCAAACTAAACTGAATTAAAACAATTCTTTAAGGTAGTTTGTTGATGAATGATCTTTAAAGTAGTAACTTCTATAAGAAAAACTAGTCACCTTATAGGTGTTAAATAGACTTTGAAATCATTGTGCATAATCTACTGAATGTTTCAAGTATGCAAGACACTTGAACATAATAATACAAGGTCAAACAATAATAAAAGTTTAATTGACAAAAAGGCACCAATTCATGAATACAATGCCACTTTTTGCATTAGTGAAATTATGTATTTTCTTGCCATTTGTGTATTTAGTTGAGTTTTAATTAAGAAACTTGTCATAAAAAAATCAAACAATTGCTTAACAATCTTTTAGAGTTCTAAAAGATTTTGGACAGAATGCAGATGGTTCAGGAAGATACTGCAGATTGTGCAAGAAGTTAGCTTTCACAAGAATGGAATTGGCATGAAGGCAAATACATTGTCAAAATTAAAATTTTCAGGCTACCACTTCTTAGTAGCTAGCGTCAGTAGAATTTTAATACAGTAATATTAACTTTCTTGGAGAGAAAATTTGATAGTCAAAAGTAGAACAACAAAGAATAAATCCCAGGCATTATAGAATACAAGGATACCTTAAAGTATGGCCAATCCAGTGTAGCCAATCACCTAACAATGAAATGCGGGTTCGGAAGCAAATGATAACACACATCTGTATCAAGAAATTAATTAGAAATGACAAACTCACAAACATATCGTGCGATGGCTGAGTATTGTCTCATAATTACCTTCCCCAGTATCGCTCGGGACGGTAAAACAAGGTACAGACAGCAGATAACTGTATTAACTGAAAATTGATGATTGCACAAAAGTCAGTGAATTATGCTGAAGTATAAGTCGAAATTCCCATTTACAATGCTTCCAAGTACAAAATTTCAAAAGGTCATACGGAGCCATCTACAACACAAACAAACTGACACGACTAATGGATTAGGGCAATGCGACATGCACCGTTTACGATAAGAACTAAAAACATTGTTTTTATCTTAAAAGATCAACTACTAAAGATTATCAATTATCATTCACGCGAGTGGTGAAGCAACAGGCCATGCGAGTTACCATGAACAAATAAGAGCGAGGACCTTATGTGAAGACTGGAACTAACAAAGCACGTACTCTAGAAAAGAACATATACAAACACTAAATTCTAAGTCAATTGGGAATATTGCGATTCGAACGGCACGAATGGATAATCCCATCCAGAGAGGAGCTTCCTGAGTACTGACGATAAAAAGTAACGTCAAAGTCTCATAGATATACATGCGTTTGAAGCCTTTCCAATGGTACATCACGTACCCAAATCAGGAAGCACTGAGAACCCCTAAATACCTTTACCGTTCTGAAGTACAATAGAATCGTAACCTTCACTACAGGAGAATTGCCGTTCCTAAAAGTGGCATGCTAATCGTCTACTAAGTCTTCCTCCAATCACAGCGAAAGCAGGGATCCATAGCAAATTGGTTGACTTTACGTGTTTAAGCAATGATACAGAGTGCCTATGAAGCCCTCCACAAAGCGGACCACTCCTCCAAACAGAGGAAAACCTTTCACGCAGTAGACTCTTCCGATCTCTTTCCAGGCACCCCTCACAGCGCCAGCATCGGATTCTGCTTCCTCGCGTGCTCGGGTATCAAACGCTGCAGAATATCAGGAGTTGCACCCTTCAACTCTGCTCCACCACCACATCCAAACGCGTTACATTTTCCACCACCTTCTCATCCTTCCTTTGCATCATGAAAATGTACAATCCAAAACACTGGACACCAGATCCCAACCACTCCCTGACAATAAATAACTCAACTGTCATCTTCAGGATGGCGACACGACTATGCACCGCCACAATGTCTCACCTTGGGTTTTGAAGTTGAACAGAGAGGGCAGTGGCCGCCCATTCGGAAGCCGGCAGTTAGGATCCCTTAGCTCATCAAAGAACGGGTGCACACACGCTTCCAGCTGCAAACAGTACCCACCCATTCATCATGTCAATCATTCCCGACTCACCATCGCCATATTTCACGTCCACAGTATTTCCTTCATACTACTTCACACCTTGTCGCAATGCCTCGTTGGCACCTCGCAGAACGCCACGACTCAACGCAGACCCACACAGCTCAACATCACACCCGTACCAACAACACAGAATATGACGCTACTCACAGCGTTGCACCGCAGATTTGGAGAGTACTGAAGGAGCCTTGACACCAAGTCAACTGCTTCAGGTGGCATGCGTTTGTGGAAAACCTGCAATTCCCACATCGGCCATACCAAACGCCGGTTACCGTCGTCAAAACCCAACATCCAACAAACCACGACGCACGCAACTAACAATGCCGCTACACGAGAAAGGCTGACCCACATCCACTACCGCACTACAACCGCAACACCCAGGATGACATCATAGCATTCGCACAAAAAACATACTTTGTGCCACGGGTGCGCCTTGATTTGTGGAAACTTGAACTCTGTGTAGTTCGGATTCATGCACTTGATCTCCTCACGAGTCGGTGTCCCCAAAACCTGCCACACGGAAACGTCTGGTCAACGCCATACTCACATCCAACACGAACAAGATACCACAGCTACAAACCAAACCGCCAACCCAGAAGGCGACCCTTCCACACAAACAACGTGTACCACGTGTGTCCCACCTTGATGATTTCCACCAATTGATCCACTCCACTCTCTCCAGGAAACAAAGGCTGCAATCCCATCAAAAGCGTCGTCAAAACCCAGATTACACATAAAGCTCCCTCACCTCAACTTCAAACCTCTACACTTGCGCCACAGCAACATATCGTCAGAAACCGCCATTAGCTTGCTACAAAACAATCAACAGCCCCAGTCAACGACCCCCCGCGTCACTTGAAACAACTCTTCGAAGTGGAAGAGAGCCCATCGGCGACCGAGTACCTGTCCTAGTAGAAGCTCTGCCATCACGCAACCCATCGACCATATATCTATGGCAGTCGTGTACTCCGTCGCTCCAAAAATAAGCTCCGGAGCACGGTAGTACCGCGAACAAATGTACGAGATATTGGGCTCCCCTTTCACCTGCACAACAAGCCCGTCTCGGTTACATCACTATTCACACGCACCCGCTTACTGAGACATCCGCATACCAGAAACGAAGTCTTCTCGAACAACTCGTCAGCTTTACAGCCTGTCACCGCAACGCACGCATTTCCGAAACACAAATTGCTTCGACGCTGTAATGCGACTGCGCAACTCGAAAATACTCACTAATCCAGTAGATACTCACCAGCACTTTCGCACTTCCAAAATCACACAGTTTCAGCTGGTGCGTATGAGGATTCACCTGTGCCATGCAAACACAAGTTTGTTACGACACCACGGCAACTCCTGTACTTTCCCGTGACTCATACCAAACATCTCAGTAACCAGCTTCCACCCATGCCGAGCAACAAATACGAGTGCTTAAACAGTCAGCATCGTGTTTTCAAGATACTTGAACACATGACAAGATTCGTCGGACACACGTACCAGCAGGTTCTGGGGCTTGATGTCGCGGTGGCAGACACCGATGCCATTGTGGATATATGCCAGTGATCGGCATATCTGATACGTGTACAGTTTCACGTAAACAAGGGGCATTCGCTGATTCATGCGATTGTAGTGCTTTGCAATACGATACACCGTCTCGGGTACATACTCCAGCACCAGGTTTAAGTACAATTCGTCTTTATCCGTCGTCGAGAAGAAGCAATGCTTCAAAGCTACAATATTCGGGTGGTCCAACAGTCGCATGATCTGCAGCTCTCGATTCTTGTATCTTTTGTCCTGCAACACTTTCTTTATAGCCACCGTCTCCCCAGTTTCGATGCATTTTGCCTGGCAACACACATTAACACGCAAAAATCATTCAGTTATCTTTCCGTATGAGCTATTCCGAGAGGCGAACAAACATGTGCGAAACCTCCATCGCGGACCACACACCAGATTCCATACGAGGTCTGTCTGAGCGGAAAGGAGAATTCGTTACAGCGCCAAATTGAACAGAGCTTAATCCTAACAATCACCTGGAAGACAATCCCGAATGATCCAGTGCCAACAACACGTTCTGCCGAATAGCTGATCGTCTGCACCATTCATGTCGTTTGTTCCAAAGAAAATAAGTAGATAAAATAAGTAGCTGATAGTCTGCACCATTCATGTCCTTTGGCAAGCTTCCAGGAAAAGGTAAGATCATCGAGCAAACACAGAGCGCAACATTCAAGCCCATGCTCAGCGTCGAGGACTATCAGATGATTTTCGGTATTGATGTCTAAGCAAACGAGTATAAATTCTAGCTATCAAGAGATACAAAGCAGAAAAACGAAGAACTTACAGATATGCTTTTAAAGCTAATTAGTTCACAGGACTATGACTCTCAAAACTGCAGAGCCAGATCGTAAAGAGTAAATAGCTCCACTAAATTACTAATGCCTTCTCAGAAGTGTCATTGGCATACCTGCTTAGGTTGTCCATTTCGCCCTCCAATAGTAGTAGCTATGATGTGGCCAGTTTCGGTACCGTTTCCATCTACTATTGAAGCCTCAATTTCCTACGTTCCGTACGAAACACCCATTTAATTCCAACTCATTTCAATCGAACAAAATCAACTCGAAACATTCAAGGCAGTAAATGCTGACATTTGAAAGAAACGACTTAAGTCGGAAGTAAATTGAGATTCCAAACTTGACTATCGTCAGAAGACCAACATCACAACCTCGAAAAAATAAGAAACTAGCGGCACTCACCTTGTCGTCGCTGTGGTCAACCTTGTCATCCCTGAGCTTCATGTCGTGCATTTCTTTCGGTAACAATTCTACTCCGCTTGAGCCAGCTTTAGTTGGAGCTATTCCTCCTCCGATCATGTTTGTGCTGTTGATAATACCCGCAGTCGCAGATGCCATAGAAGACTCGAAGTCCCCGAAACGTAAATTTCTACTTTAGTACGTATAATTCTGGCAGAATTCCCTGGCTGCATGTCAAAGAATCCGTCGTACACTTTAATAATTCAGAAATACAACGTGATAATAGTAGCGCAGCCCATAGGAAAACCAGCATGATACATTCGATTTATCTGGAACTTAAAAAAGAACTGCTTCTGAGTTTGTAAATAAACTATGCTTACGCTGACTTAAACAAAAAAGCAAAAAGATACACTAATAGTTTGAAATTTTTCAAAAATTGCCCGAGCAACTGTGAACGTAAATCCACATCCGGAACCAAAACGAAATAAACCTTGTTGCGAGGAACAAAATGTCCATAATCTGTACGCTCACAAACCAATAATCATGAAAAATAGCACTATTGACCGCGGTGACATAAACAAAAGATAACACGCTTACTGGATCAAAATGACGACGTGACATTGAATAGTCCACATGTCAATGAATCAACTGAAGCGACTCGGTCACTCTACAAAACCACCAACGGCTTGATGATACAGTGGATCACTTTATGCTTGGCTTGAAGGGCCATAAATGAACCTTAGAAATAAATGAATTAAATGAAAGTGCATAGAACTGAAAACGCATAAAAGCTAAGAAAGCCGTCCAGAAACATTATTGCTGACTTTAAATCGTCGGGAGAAAATTAAATTGGTCGACAGCCGCGGCAAAAGCACTTCCAAACCAAACAAAATACCAGACCAATAGGTAAGTAATATGCACTGGGTGCAAAATAGGTTGCTAATCGCAGAAGCAGTTATGTGAGCAAGAACTCAAGACGTGTAAAAGTAATCAATGACTCAGCGGAGAAACAAAATAAAATAATGAAATGAACGGAAAAAACCAGAATCGCATTACACGTGAACAGCACTAAGTCGATAGCCAACTAGATAAGACAAGATAGACATGAAGGAGCTTGTGCTTTCTCAAAAACAAGATCACAGGTAGTCAGGCCGGTCTAATTACAACCACTGTGGCGGGTCGTATGAGAAGAAGACCAGACAGTCACAGAGCAAGGAACAGCTAATCCGTACAGGTTAATGTTTGGTACATCGCTTCAGCAAAGACAGGAAAGTACTTGCTCACAAAGCTAAACTTGCACAAAACTACCGGCCAAAACTCTTTGATACATATGGTCTCTGACGAGCAAAAGGCCTTGACAGCAATAACTTTCACTGCCGCCAACCAAGTACAAACCTACTCAAAAGAATGAAAACACTACCGGACTCGATCAGAAGGGGGAAAAACTTTACTGGTTCAAGCCAATCAATTTTTGGACATTCCAAAAGCAAAAAACTAAATTTCGGAAATGTCGTGATCACACAAACTACTCAAAAGAGAATCGGCATCTAATTACAAGCGTTCAAACACCAAAGCATAACATCAGCGAGAAAACAAACAGCTAGCCAAGCGCACGATGAGAATGACTTTTTAAAGGACGGTATGTGTAAGCAAGAGGAAGGTATATTGCAGAAAAATGGCCAGCAAAATATACGACTTCACACCACATTTCGCACATACATTCTCTTTACATGATGACACCTACTCCAAGCAACACTGCACTTCAGCAGTCACCGACGAAGTGGCTATATCCAGTACGCTGTGACTTCCTCTGGACAACAACACTGGTCTCTATGGGCAGTAGTTTGTACTCAGCAACACATGCCACTCACAAACTCCAGAGAAGAAGCTTACATTTCCAGTTGCCCGTAGAAGCTAACTCCACCGACCACACATCACATGCCTCGCGAAGATGATACAATCACCACCTGCTTTCCCAATCCTCCCTCCTCACATGCTCCACTCATCTCCATCTCAGCTACCTACCCCTTGGCTTCCAAATCACTCACACCCGACCACTCCGCACCAATCCTCTCTCTCTGCCGTGCCTTTATTCACTACGCCTGTCCCAAGCAATGTCATACTTCAAGTGTGCCCCTCCGCACACCCGCAATATATCTTTCCACCCCTTCGTACACACAGCCCCAATGGCTTAGATGCACCCCCGAGTAGATCTTAGCAGATGGTCCGGCACTGCGTCCCACTTCCACACAACCCGCGAAAGTCGATTCCAATAGCCAACGCCCCTATCAACCCCCACAGCGCTGGAGCCAACCCCAGAGCCAGCACAACCGCACCCTCTTACTCTCTAATCTGCGGGGCTTGCGACCACAACTCACCGCGCGAGAGTACCGAACGCCAAAGCATCAGCGAGAGCACTTCCGCCCGGCCGAGGCATGCCTGGGCAGGAAATCGGGAGGTAGGGAAACAGCAGATGGACTCGGAGTGTGAGGAAAGGGCGAGGCAGGCACTAACTAACTAACAAGAGAGAGACGGGGCGGGGACGAGGGAGAAGCGAGGAGGAGGAGGAGGCGGGGAGAGCGGGGGGGGCATGGCCATGGAGGAGGAGGAGGAAGAAGAAGGCCATAGCCATGGGCGGGCGGGGTGAGAAGAAAGGGGGAAAGGGAAAGGGCAAGGTGGGGATGGGGACTGACTGCACTGGGGGGGGGGGGTGATTGTTATTCGCCTCTCTTTCTCTTTCTCGTTCTCACACACTCGGCTCTGCTCTGCTCTGCCTGCCAACGCTCTCTCTCTCTTTCTCTCTGGCTGGCCCTCTCTGTGTCTGACTCTGACTTCCTGGCTCTCTTGCGCTCTCTCTCGCGCTGTGTCTGTGTTGTTCGTTGAGGTCCTGGTCGTGGGGGTGGTGGTCCCGTGCTGGGATGTGAGGTTGGGCTGATGCTGTTGCTGCGGTTGCGGGGAGAGAGTGCGAGAGTGTGAGAGTGTAGTGTGGTGTAGTGTCGTAGCCTGCTGCGCTGCTTCGATTTCGTGCCTTCCTTCTTCTCCATTCCCCCGCCCTTGGCCGCGGTCTCAGGCCCGCTATTGGTGATTTAGTCGTGTGTCACTCTGGTTCCCGTGACCGCGTTCATCTCTCGGTCAAATCGCCTCGGTGCACCTCCATCCCGTTGGCTAGTTACACCTCGTGGCTTTAAAGTCATAAGGTAGCTTTTGTGGCTTGTGATTGAGTGTGCTTCACCTCGCAGAGCTTAGTTCATTCTGCCCACGGGCAGGCTACGTGGGCAGAATTATTTAAAAAATTAAAAATATATATTTGTGAATGTTTAAATAAAACAAGATGCAAGATGGGATTAGTTAGTGCTATACATGCATATCTAAATTTTACAATTTTGAAATTCCCTGAAAGTTTGGTGTCCTATCTACCAGTGAGATCATAATATATGTGGTATAATAAAATTAAAACCATTCTTATTTTGAGTAGATATGACATTTCAGTTGAATAAATGATAATTATTAAAAGTAATGCAATATCGTTTTGCACAATAGACATTATTGGGATTACATATAGAACATCATATGCATAATATATCACTGTCTGTACATGTGCAAACATCCTATGGCATTTAAAAATAAATGATGTCAATCATACAATCAAACCATGTTATGAATTGGTACATTAATAAATGCATTAACAACTACTTACATTGACTTCTTTTTTCTCTCTCTTTTTTTTTCTTTTTTCTTCTATTTTCTTTTTGATCTTTTACTTCTTCCTAAGCTCAACGATGTCTTCCAATTGTGTGACTGTATTTCAGGTAAATATTTAAAACAAACATTGATTATATATATAATATTTGTGATTTTATTCAGGGTCGATTAAAGCATACAATAGATTTGAAGTAACCATTATTGTATAAAATAACTATCTTTGTGTAAACATCAGTGTTTACTTTGTAGGGACAGAGTTGTATTCACATTAAATATAGTTGATGATTATCCAAAAAATGTTGCACTCAATCAAAAAGTGAATTTAAATTTGAATTATATTTGAATAGTGCAAACATATATAAGAAATAATATATGTTAACACAGTATCTAATAATATAACGAAAAAAATAATATCTGTTTGTAGTAGTTATTCAAGAATGGTAAAATTAAATAAGAAAAAGAAAACAATAACATCCAAAAAAATGATTAGAGTCAAATATGCATATATGTTTTTATTTACATGAAAATTCTTTACACATGTAGAGGGAGAAAGAGATGGAACAAAAGGGAGTTTTATGATATTTTAGTTCAAATAAAATTTTGAATCATACAACGTTCTAAACTGAAGTGTATTTTTTATGAATATTTATTATTAATTAACATCTTACATATACTTTAATCCGATGGACATATTTAATTATTTGTTATTTTTTCCAAGATAATGACTGAGTTTTTATTTGGTTGTTTGTAAATAGTATCACAACATTTATCTAAAAAAGTTTTACACCAATTTATTTTGGATATGCCTTAACAAACTACCTTTTCAAAATATTCTACATATACAATTATAAAAACAAGGTAGGAATTTCGTATTCGGGCTTTTTAATACATGCACAAGTATCAAGTTTCAAGTATTTCATGTTACAATTATTCTTCATTCACAGATTTTATGTTAAAACTATGTTATTTATTTATGTATTTATTTTCATCATAATTTCATTCATTCTTATTGACTTTGTCCAGTTGCATTCCATTTAACTTGGGAGATGAATGCTTTTACCCAAATTCATTAAGTTATTACTTTTTCCGGAATAGTTTTACTTTTTCACAGACTTCTGCCCTGGCCACTTTCCACGTCAGCGAGCAGGGGATCCGGGCAGAACGAGGGATTCACACAAGCTGGATTTCTGGTGGACTGGATTAGTGAAGTCAAAATTAGTAATAGTCAGAATTAGTGGCAGAATTAGTGATTGTCAGAATTAGACTTAGCACCATACATTGCTTTGAATTCGGTGCGGTTTCCGTCCTGCTGCATTCATCCTCGTCGTTGAAACTGTCGATGAATGTGGTAATGGATGAATGTATGACGTGGAACCTCCTTTGAGGCACTTGTTCCAAAGGACATAAGAGGACCTTGGAGTGTTTGGGTCCATTCACTGCAAAGTCGTTTTATCCAACGTCTATTCACAAACTAATATTTTTAAAGATTTAATAAACTAATGGTAATTATTTATATAACGTTTGTACTTTAATACTGCTATAAATTCTCCTTATTGTTCAATTTCCACATATATATATTTATATATATACATATATATGATTTATACATATTATTCGCCTGTTTGCTCTAAAATGTATTTGTTTCTTGAGTTTTTAAGATTGAACTGTAGTGCAGTTTGACTTCTATTCATAGAAACACATCCTTTGATACTTGCCTTTGAATTATCATTACAAAACTTTTAATATCAATCATTTGTATGATTTGCATTTATAATTTCAATCAGTGGGCTTGTTTTTCAGTATCACTTAGCAACCACGTTGACTTGTTAACAACAAAAGCTGAGAAGTTAATGTTGAAGTTATTACAATCTATCTGAATATTATCAATGCGCTATTATTAGTGGCAATGTCTCTCGATTACCATCCTATATTTGGCAGTATAAGAATGTTTGTAAGCTCGTAAATGCGGATATTTATAGTTCAACAATTCATTGATTGTTTTATCAAGCATTTCAAATGTAAAATCGTTGATAAAAATTTCCAAGTTAATATCATCTTGTACTTGATAATATAATAAGTATTGAGATGATACCCAATGTATGCATTACTATAAACTAATGTAATGAAGTCAATTCTACAAGTTAGAAAAATAAATAGTACTCATGCAACATCCACTATTCTTTACTGTACCTCTAAGCATCTGTTTGACTATCACCACAATACTCCACTTTTTTGTTAGACAGGTTTATACTTTAAAAAATATAACACAGCATTGCATTACCATTTGTTCTAAGGTCACAAAAGCATCAAAGGTCAAAACACCACTAATGTCCTCATTTGAGAATACTTCTTTTTAGTTGAATTCAACACATTTTTGTTGAAAAAAGGATAACATCTACAATCTGTTAACTTAATGTTTCAGAAGTGAACTTGCTGTAAAACATTATGGAGGTAAAATCCAACAATATGCGTACAAAATTATAATCCCAAGATACTAACATTTTCTTGCTCTGGAAACTTCTAACTCTTTCATTATATTTGCAATATTAACAAATATAAGTATTTGGTTCACACAATTTGCAAATAAATAAAAATAGTAAAATTATAACATTTTTACAAAGTGCTAAGAAAAAAAATACTTTAGTAGTAAGATATTGATCTTATAATGTCAGAGTGGCAATATAAGTATGTGTAGGTGTATCAAGCTCAGTATAAAATTTAATTCAAAAATATATTTAATCCAATGCTGTTCTTAAAACAAAGTCTGGTGTTCTCATACAACTAACTTTTAAATTAATGATGCTAACAACCTTTTCACATGACATATATATATTCACACATAACATAAAAAGTGAAACAAAATAACTTTTTTATGATATTTGTGATTAAAAACAAGTATTGAATTTTGCTCCCGAGATTTTTAATTTTCATGTGTATATATAATTTTTTAAATATGAAAAAAACTAAAATCATCAAATGTATGTGATTTTTTTTTTTTTTTTTTTTTTTCTCTCGTTATGTGTTACTTTGAAAAAAAAATTATATCTGTAATTCTATTTTTTATCCATGATTTTTCTTTCTTTCTTAATTTATTTGTTTTTTTTGTATAGTATGGATGGAATTAACTTTTTATGATTTGTTGATGATTGTTTAAACTGTAGTTTTACGTTGCATTCTAAACTACTATACATCAATAACTTGCTTTGCATATTATTTTTCAAGGAAATCAATGGCCCTTAATGCTAGTCTATGTTTATTTTTGTATCCTTATTTATACTACTTTAATTAATGGTTACAGGCTCCTAAAATAAATTTTCAAATAAAACGATTAAGAATCTTTTGGGATCTTGAATTTTGAAAAATAAATGTATACTTTTTCATTCTTTTTCTTTTCTATTAGAAGAATATTAAGAGGCAAGCTTAAGGCCCACTATGGTTGTATTTTTATTATTATTTGTGTTTTAAATTTAGAACGTCGACATCCAACAATTACATGAATGGATTTGCCAGGAATCCACACAAAAATTAATTTTGTTAAATGAGTAACTTCTCCTTGCAAGTGACTTGGTTCCGGAAAACGAACCCAAAGTTAATACATAGCCGACATTTGCAGTAACCGTTCTATTTTAGAAAACAAGTTAAAATCACAACATGTTTCCCCAATGATTGTTAAGGGGGCTAATGGAAACATTTGCATGCAATTATCCTTAGTTGGCATCTAACAACAACCCACTTTATTTCATATATTAATTAAGAATCCTGCAAATCTAATGTTTGACGTGGGCAGTGAGTGATGGAATACAGTGTAGGAGCTAATTCAACACTTCTATATATAAAGTCTCATTTAAGAACCCCTTGAATCAACACACAAACTTAAAGGACAAGTTATGGAAAGAGTCCGATATATCCTACTTTTCACAACACAAAATCCGGGACGAGCCTTGAAGCCTTAAAAAAAGTAAAAGTGTGAGAAAAGAAGGAGGCACGCTTTTCCCAGAACCCTAAATGGACAACGAAGGGAGCGAGAGTCTCCATGGAAGACTCTGACCAGTGCCCACGTTACCCACTCTCTCACTCTAGCAAATCCAAAGCCACGTCAGATGACACGTACGCAACGCTAACCAATGGGTGGGAGTGGAGAGGGCGAGGAGGGTGGCGGTGGGAATGGGGTTGCCTGGTGGAAGGGTGGGGGGGGGGGTCGACGGTGCTGACCAGCCAGCTAGGCAGAGGGCGACCATAATGACGACCGTCACGGCGATCACTCTCAAGCTCTCTCTCTCTCACTTACTATGTCTCTCTTTCTACTACTACTACGTCTCTCTCTTCTCATGTGCGAGGGGGCTGGGCAGGACCAATGGCAGTGCGGCTATGATCTCGAAGCTCAGGCTCAAGGGCAGCCAAGTCCCATCGCCAGCCACCGAGGGGTGGGGATGAGCTGGCATTTCATTACGTCACACGTCAGCCCTTGCAGTGGCATCCTTTGGCGGGAATGCTCGCATTCTACTTTTTATCTTTTCCTTTCACTTTTTTCTTTTTCTGTTTACAGTGCCCTATACAGGGCGTTGGTGGTGGAGGAGGAGGAGGAGACCTGGTGGCTGAGGGGCAGATTTGGCTTGGCTTGGCTTGTACACCAAGGAACTCTTTCTTCACTTTGGTCTCTCACGAAGCGTGTGAAAGTGTGTCAGAAGTTTCAAATATTCCGAGCAATTGTGTGTGAGTGGGTGGGTGAGTTGGATCTGAAAAATATCACTGGTCCCCCTGTATAAGCGTGTGTGTGTGTATATGCTGGAGCGCCTTACAAGTTCGTTGGATGGGTGGATGGATGGGATCTTACTCGATGGGGGGGGGGGGGGGTGGGTTGGATAGAACTTACTGTGTGGCCATTCTGTCATCGGAGTGTTTGCTTTATTTCTTCGTATTGTATTGTATTATATATGTATACATATACATATGTGTATTATATATATATATATATTTATTTATATATAATATGCACGTCATTTAGTTGCTTGAAATAATACCTGAAAAAAAAGTATGAAAATCATATTTTAAATTCTTATAATTATTCTTGTTTTGAAATTTTTAAAAAATTGTTTTGAAAAATGATTAAGAATATATTCAAAGAACCTACTGATATGTACTCTAATTAAATAGATCACACGAGCATGTTCAAATTGTTTTATGAAAACAGTTAGAAAGTTTTTTTTTTTTTTTTTTTTTTTTAAACATAGTACATTAAGTCAACGTTAGAAATGTAGTTGTTACAAATTAGAGAAACAAACCAAGTGCCTAATTTAGATGTGTAAGTTTAGATTAGTGCCTTCAATCTCAGATTAGTGCCCACGTTTGCACAGTAGAGCACACACTTTGTACTCTAACTATAAACCCAATTGTTTTTTTTTTTAATTTTTGTATTCAATATATATATATATATATATATATATTTCTTGCTTTGAAATATATCACAACTTCAACAGTTTCAAAATTAGGGATTTGAGTCATATGTAGTATTTATGCTTTTATGTTCATGCACTAAAAAGACAACATAGTTAATCAAAAAACTATATGAACCCATATATTGTTCAATTGCCATGTTTGAAATAGTTTGTGCCAACAACAACATAAGAAGACAGTAAAAAAAAAGCAATAATAAGGATGTAACAACATGCACTCAGACTCAAGTATAACTAATAATTTTAATAACATGTTTTATGTGTATAACGTTTTATGAATTTAAATTACAATTTCTGCCCTAAGTATCAATTATTTAGTGCTTGAAAATTGCAAAAAATTGATTATAAAAGAGAATTATTAAGCAGACACTTTTTTTTTATTGCACGGACACACTTGGTATTGTGCACGCTTGCATGTACACAATGATGTTTATAGTTATTGAGGATATATATTAAAGAAAAAAGAAAAGAAAAATAAATAATTATTCTTCTTATTATCTTATATTTATGAGTTCTAAGATATTGGTAAATTTTACATCTCAATATTTGCACATAACAAGTATGTTTAAAGTAAATCATGAAATGTATACTATATTGAATACATAAATTAGGATTTAATATATTTCTATAGTTATTGGATGAAAAGGTCATAATATATAAAATAATGATGTGATGATGATATTTTGTGTTAGATGGCAGGGATACATGGTAAAAGAGCTGTCAAAGCAAAAACAGGGGGTGTCCACCAAACAGTTCTATAGTACAATTGGATTTGTGTTAATTGAATAACCATATTTTAAAATTTTTAGCTTGTATGGAATATCTTTTGAATTTATAAAAAATAATCTAATATATATATATATATATATATATATATGATCATTGTTTATTCGTTGTTCTGAGATATATTTTAAATACATTTGACAAAACAAAAGATTTTGATACTTTTTTTAGATTAAAAAGACATTTTTTTCATACATAATAGAATAATGTGAATGTTTTGCATATTTAATTTTATATTTTAAAAAATTAGATTTGATGTTTATTCGTTATCATAGGATATACAAATTTATTTTTACATTTTTAACTCCATTGAAAAGGTATATTTTTTTGTCACATATATATGTATAAATGTGTGTATTTTAAAATTTTGAAATGAACAATATATTACTTATCTTGAAATTCTTAAGCTTTAAACATTAAAAATGTCAATATGATACCGTGAAACAAATACCCTACTTATTCTTAGTAATTACCTTTTTATTTTTATTATTAAGTTTATACTTCTGTTTTCTTTGCTCTTCAAATTATTTTTGTTTGATTTGTTTTTACCACACAGATGATGTTCTTGCACAATTTATCCTATTGTGGAGTTAATATTTGGCATTCTATATGAGTTAGATTGATATATATATATATATATATATATATTAAAATATTTTATATTGTATAATTGTAATCTACCAAATGTCCGAATATACCTAATCATGAGAGATGGCGTATTGAAGGGAGAGTGACTTAATCACTAACAATTTAAAGGAAAAAAAGCACGAATGATATCTGTCTTTTTTGCTCTTTGAAAGAAAAAGTAAGTAGAAAAAAGTGAAAGCCCTTGAGTGAACACCAGAATCGCTCTGAATTGTTGTTTTGGACCCCATTTGCTTGCCCACGTCGAAGCTCCGCATGTCCTTCAACTACGTTTTCGAAATCTGAGCATCGCTGAATATCATTCGTGCTTGCAGAGTCGATCGAAGGATTGTATTACATCGGTTGTTGCTGTGAAATTTCGACCTCTGGAATCGAGCCTAGAATTTTTACCTGATCGCGATGATCCCAGTTCGTAGAGTTCCAATGGCGTGATGGTGCGGGAGTTGGTGGGTTGCTTGCGGCAATTCGATCAGCAGGTTGAAGGATATGTGTGAAAACTGTGTTGAGGGTAAAGGAATTCGGTGATGGAGTAGAGGATCAGTTGTGGGCACCAGAATTTTTGGTTTGAAGTAGTTGTAATTTTAGGGTTTTTTAAATTGCTTGACATCAGTATCTGACGTTTGGAAGCTCCGGGGCCTGTGTTGAAGCGTTAGACGATGATGGAAGGTGTCGAAGGAGGAGCAATTTGGTGGGGTTAGGGTTTGTGGTAGCTCGTTGTGAGGATGGGTACTGGAGGTGATGGTGCAGGAGGGGATGTGCTGCGGTTGGGAAACCTTTTGCGGATGGGAGTTCTGTGGACCCTTTGTCTCATTTACTCTCACCTCTGCCACATCGTTCTTCGGTTGCGATCGCGTTATCAATCGCAAGGTTTGAGACCTTTTGAGCTCTGTTCCCCCGCGGCATGTCGTAAGCCAGCGTGCATCGTTACTGGGGTATGACTGCTCTCTGCAAATTGTGCTTTCTGTACTCGATACTACTGTTACCCCAAGGCGCGAATTGGGTGGGAATTGTCTAAAGCTTTGACTGTATCCAGGTTTGCATAGTCTGCAGCGGTTTTCAGATGGTAGTTTTTATTGAGCTGGTATATGTCACCTCATTACAGTCTGGTGTCGTTTTTATTTTTTGTATATCATGTTTCCTGGAGTGTCTTCAAATGCGTGGTGTATATCACTCAATATATGACTACCCCCTGTCTCAATATGCCTCGCATGTTCGTCTTCTAACAATTTGCATGATCGTGTGCAAAGTTGTTGATAAGGGTGCGGTTTAATGTGTGTAGGCATCCTCTGGGATTGGCCGAGCAACGGCTTCAGCTCTTGCACTTCGGGGCTTTCACGTAATTCTGGCTGGCCGCTCCTTAGAGCGTCTGCAGGTGGTTCGTGCTGAGATTGAGGCACATAGTCCCAGTGTATCCTGCCAGACTTTGGCTTTGGACTTGTGCTCTGTGCCGTCCATACTGAATTTCACTCGAACTGTGAAGAAGCTCTTCGAGGCAGATGGTGCGCCTGGCAAATTACATCTTCTTGTGAACAATGCTGGCAAGACTCTTGCACCAGAATGCTTTTCTTTTTGCAATTTTTTTCAGTTTGCAGTTCATTGTAACATCTTGCTTGTTGGCGAGTATTTAATAAATGCTATAAAAGTTTTGTTTGGTTTTATCAATTTGTGAAGTTTTAATTTTAATCAGAGCGTTTGGGCAGATGGTAGAAACTCGAACTTGTCCAGGTCGTTCAGTTGCCTCTCAAGGATAATTCATGTTGGATGCATGTTGGCTAACTGATGTGTCACATGGTTTTGAAATAGGGATTCTGGCAACATCTGAAAGGTGGACAGAGGATGGTTTTGATGTTATGATGGCAAGTAATTATCTTGGGCCTTATATTCTGACTCGCGAGCTTCTCCCACTGCTCCAAAAGAATGCGCCACAGGCCCGCATCGTCAATTTGGTCTCTTTCACTCACCGTGCTGTTCAACGTGCACAAGTAAACGTGCGTCAACTGGGAAGTGGAGGCATTCGGCGGAAGCACACTAGGAGCGACATATATCATTTGGCGCAAATTTACGAGACTTCTAAGTTGTTCATGATCCTCTTTTCATATGAACTACACCGTCAATTTTTTTCCAATTTTGAGCCAGAGAGCCGCGTGTCAGTCATTGCCGCCGATCCTGGGGCTGTGAGCACCAATATCCTGAGAGAGGTTCCCTCCTGGCTAGCTCATTTGAGCAGTATTGTGTTGAGTCTACTTGGCTTGTTGCAGCCACCAAAGTCTGGCGCTTCCGCAGTAGTGGCTGCCGCGATGGCACCCTGGGAGTTGTCCGGTAAGTACGTTTTTGGAAACGATGGCCTATGTTGCAAGTCTTCTTCCATTACTTACGATGAGAAACTTGGTTGTAGCCTCTGGAATGCCTCAGAAAACATTTACAAAGAAGCCCTTAGCAGACACTGAAGTAGGTTTGATTTTGTGGTGTGATTCCTATATTTAATTTGCACACAGCTATGTTGCTACATTGTGGAACTTGAAATCCTAATCAACTCCCCGTCATCGAATATCATGCTTCTTTTCCATACTGTAATGGATATGATGTCTAGTGCAACACTCGAAGATCTAATAGTTTCGGCCATGTTGATGACTTATTCATGGAACAGTCTGGTCTTTGGCCTCTCTTGTTGTTTGTTCCCAATGTGACTGTTGACGCAAGGTGTCCCCAATTCTGACATTGGGGTGAACGAAAGTGGCAGTTGATCAAGCTATGACGTGAGTAGTCTGGTCTTAATATATTCTCGAGACTTCGCTTGATCTCCGCATCAACCCCAATCTTCCACAGAACCAACTCAACATAGTCTTCCATGAATGAAGCTCCCCGAAGTCAGTTAATTTTGATACAGTACTATCCAGTTTGGTACCACTTTGAATCCCAGAATTAGTTTGGTACCAGCTCTTTATTTTACCATCTTTGGCAGATCTCCATTTATAACATTGTCCGCCATGAACAAACCAAGACAAGTCGCGTTGTGTTCGGATGGTGGCATGGATGGTTGCATTGAGTGGTTGTTGTTTTTCAATCAGATGCATCTTGGCAACCAAATATGCTTATGTATATTACTTCTACTTGTGTATTGTTTCTGCTACATAGCAATGAAGTTGTTATGTTACCTGACCTGCCAGATGCATGTCGACTTTCGAGCTTTACGAATAATTTAGTTTGATCAAACTGGACTTGCAGGTGTATGCTTTGGTTGCAGAAGTTTGCCATTAATGAAATCAATAAACCTTGGGAATAGAATGCGAGTGGGCTCTCAAGACACACGTGTTGGAATCAACTTGATCTCCGTGAATAACTCGTCTGCATTAAATGAAACGTTCCGTTAAGTCCATCAAAGGCTGCTGCAACAGGAAGTCCTTCTTATACAAGTATCGTTGCTGACGTTTGGTAGGATCTCACTAAAAGTGATGCATCTGGATGAAGAAAGTTCTTTAAAAAGCACGCAACTCAACTACAATTTCGGCGGTCAAGTAGACTTCTAATCCCTTTAACTAGCGAAGTTGACTTCTGTGGGCATCGTCAAAGCCATCTTGCGAACACACGCGCTGACCTGAAATGCAATTATGCAACGGTGCAATATAGTTAAATCCAGTATTCGCTACGGACTGAATGCTTTTGTGGAATCCGTCTATGCTTCTAGTGGGTTACGTCAGAAACTACTGGGAGATGCCCGATGGGAGCGAATCTGGGGTACCTTGATATCGACGACCGAGTTGAGAAATCTCTGCAACAGAATGCTCTGCAGACAGGTTAAATTGAGAGTAGAATATGCAAATCATCTGAAGAGTAATGTAAACAATTTCTCTGTCGCGATGACAGAGATCTGGACTTGATCCAAAGTTTAACTTCCTGCATATCATGTTACCCCATATCATGAAAGCACTGGTGAGGGGTAGAGCTCCGCAATTTACTTGATAAAAACGAGATCTCTTAGGGAATGATCTCGCATAAGCGGAGCAAGCCGCACATGTTTAATACAAGGATCACAAGATTCGACAGATTAGAAGAGGAGCGTAAAATCGTGATAAGTGAAAGGTACGCATACTTGGTTTTTCGAGTTAGGGTTTTGGCAAGTATGGATTCATATGTTAATAGAGTGAGATATGGAGTCACTACATGTGAAGACTAGATGGGAGGAGGTAGGATAGAGGACAAAGTGAGAGATTATCAAGAAAGGCTTTAAACCAAATTGGAAGAATGTATGCACTAAGTCGAGGACCAAAAAAGAAACAATTCTTATTTGGCTAACACAACATTGAAGTGGTGTAGTAGTTAATGTATGGAGAGTTAAAACAAATAGAAGAAATGTCAAACAAATGCCAACTATGCCACTTACAACAAAAGAATAAAATGATCATCTATAGATTTTAGAAATGTTGAGAATTCAAACATATTAAGTATTAAAATAATATCACTTGTGTCTAAAATGACTACAAATCCTTAGAATTTGAGACCATAAAAAATGTTTATTAGACATTAAGAATACCAAAGCCTAGCATGATTATATGTATATATATATATATATATATATATATAAGAAGTAAATTAGACAATATAGACAATGTAATTATACAATATAGCCTTATATATATATCAATTAAATATAAAAGAATCTAGTCTATCATTTATTAAAAAAAGGGTTAAGGACTACAATATAACTATCCCTTTTAAAATTATGGATAAAAACCAAGAATTATTGCTTAATACATGTTTGACATAATTATTTTTTTATATTTATTTGTTATTGCTTTTTCACATACAAAATGATTTACATAGTTTTTGTCAATATCATTATTGTGAAACATATAATGCCTTGTTATTTATTTATTTATTTATTTATTCATTTATTCAATATATTAGTATTTTATTAGCAGAATACTATGGACGTACTACAGATCCTATTACAGAGAGTTAAAATAATAATAATAAATTTTTAAATAATATTAACAGTTTTGAAGACAATGCACATAAAAAATAACAAAAATATTATCAACAAAAAAAAAGAATAATAAATAGTTGAATAGTTCATAAACCAGTTGGGTATAAAAACCATTGCATGAAAATTTAATGGTCTAAAATTCTACGAATATTATTGATCTAAATAATGTTATTAAAATTAAAAACTGTTGTTGTCATATATATAAACACAGTATAATATTCATATAAAATAAATAAAATTTTGACTATATATATACATATTTAGAGGTTTTATTTATAGTTTTATTATTTCTTTAAATTGTTTTGTGTTTTGTTTCGTATTTTGATTGTTTTCTTTGCATGTTAGCCATATTTTCAAGCACTCTAATTTGATTTTTCCAATTGAGTAGGACGAAATAAAAACACTTTGCATAGATATACAAATAAATAGTAGAAGTTTGAACATAAAGGTTGTCTTTATGATCAATGAATAACTTCTGTTCACCAACATGCAAGCTTAAACCTATTTAGCTCTATTTGTATGAAATATTATATCTAATTGTATTTTAATAAAATAATAAAATATTTTATAAATTAATCCAAAATTTATCAATTAGTAGAGTTATTGTTGATCTTGATTTTCATTTTAGTTACAATTGATTCAACATAATCTGCTATATTATCTCAATTAGAAGAATAACATTAGAATTTAGACCACCTAATAAAATTATGAATATCTCATTTTATTTCTACTAAATTGTACATATAACAACTCTATCTATAGTTTGTAAATAAGTATTATCTCAGTATGTTATTATTAGAAGTACTAGTATTGTTGCTATTATTATCTAAAATGATAAAACTTTTAATCAATATTATTCTATAAAGGATTTTGCACATTGCAATATATAGTCAAATAACATGTTACATTCCAATACTAGTATCTAGTATTTAACAATATCATGTTTTAATCTTTTAAGAGCTAAGTGAATTTATTTATTTTTAAAAATAGCTATATGAGGGCTTTGAGGTTATTTGGACAAATTAAACTAAAGTCAACCATCCAAAATTAAAGTGTATAAATTGTCTAATTTTACTCAATTAACATTAATATTTGGAGTAGTTGCAAAATGTAATTTTTTTTTGTTTGAAGTTAATAAAATCCACCTTTGTGTTTTAGCCATGTGTAATATAATTACATTTTAGTGAGTTATTTATATATGTTATTTATTCTCCAAATATTTTTGATAACAACTTTTAAAAACAATATTGCTCTTATGTTCATTAGATACTTTCATTAGATTTTTAGATTCTACAAGTGCTTAACCAATAATCGTTCATTAAAAATACACATATAATACAATTAAAACTCTCTCAAAAACAAATAATTAAGGACACCAATCCTCACACATGAAATCACACATTACATTTTTGGAGCCCTAGATTAGGGTGTGAACATGCAACCAAGCATGCACACTATACCATGATCACTAATGGTTTACAATCACCGATATTATTGAATACTATTGAAATTGCTTCCAAAAAGACAAATTTATGTGAGTAGAGAATCTAGCGACATTTGCAACAGATGTCGAACTAGAAACAAGCTGAACCCAGAGGCGGCTGAAGCTGAGGTGGCAATGAACGAGACCGTACGAAGCGGAATGTACAATATCAGGGTCTATTCCGACAGGAACCAGCCAGCGCAGCACTGCCAGCAAACCCAGAGCCTGTGTCATTATTGCCACGTAGGCCAGCTGCTCAATCTGAGGTGGACTAGTCTAGACCCCACCCCTTGGACGGACCCGTGACGTGGCGTTCAGGCAAAGCGGTGAAGCCGAGCCTGTAGGTGTGGATCCCTAGCTATCGCCTCGGTCGTCTTCGTCTGGGTTGGGTGCGATTCTCGTCCGTCCGTCCGTCCATCCGCTCGTTCGTTCGTTCGTTCGTTCGTTCGTTCGTCTGTACGTGGAAGGGGGGGGGGTTTTTGAGGGTGGGCTTTGTCGTAGCGTAAGTACACTTTTTCGTGGGGAATTGGAGGGAGGTCCGATTCTTCTATTCGCAGCTCGGACCAGGTCGTGATGCACTTCGCGCTCTCCTGTGTCCGAAACTTTTGCTGAGGTTCGAGTATCTAGCTGCCGCGAGTGTTCCTTTTTTTATTTATTTTTATTTTTATTTATTTATTTTTATTTATTTTTATTATTCCGTGGGGTGCTGCCTGTCCTTTCGTGAAGTTCGGGAATCTGGTTTGATTTTCACTGTTGCTATGTCGGAGTCCTGTAAGCTCTCGCGGAGTTGTAGGGTTTAGTTGCCTGGAAGGTGTGAGGAGTGTATGTTGCTGAGCTTGGGAGTGGATGGGCGATGACTAGGTCCATTGTCATTTCGTGACGTGAGAAGAGTGATATTCGTATCACTGATTGAGTTCTGAGAGAGTGCTGGGGGTGAGTAAGCAAAGCAGGGTTTTGGTTTACCCGTTTTGGGATTGTTTTTGTCTCGTGGAGCACATGGATGGCAGAAGAGTTGTTGGTAGAACGATGAGATGTGGTTGAATCGATTGTGGCAGTGAATGGCGGGAATTCGTAGCAGTTGAAGGTTGCTTGTGGTAGTTCCGAGGCTTGGAAAGTCCGTGGGGCAGATGTAGTGTGGAAATTTTACCTGAAGTTGCGTGGAGAATGGCATGGTTTCGAAACTGTGGAGGGGCATGGATGAGATTAGCTGGAATTGTATGATAATCATGGGTGAATTGATACAACAGGGTCAAGAAGAATAAGCCGAGGTTTAGGTGTATTGCAGTTGATGGTGTAGCCCGTGAAGCTGGTTCATGAACCATTAGTTTTGAAAACTGCATGGGATGCACTTGTTTTGTATTTGATCCAGTGCTGTTGGGTGCTATTGAATTAGTGGTATCATCTGCAGAGATGATTCTTCTGAGAGCTTGACTGTGCTTTTAAGGATATTGAAAACTAGTTGTGGCGTCATGGGAAACGGAATATCTGTCGTCAGTTGGCCTTGAATCACGCTTTAGCAAAGACCACCGCTATATGTAACATGGCGAAGCTTGTTACTAGCGACTAAGCGCTTAATGAATTCCTATGTACAGGCTAGTTAAAGAGCTTGCCAACGAATATAGAAGTTGCGCGTAAATGATGGTGATCTTGGACAGAGTGCACATCTTCCAGCCTGGGTTATTGAGTTGAATCGGATTGCGGACCCATTGGCGCGCCCTCCAAGATTGCGGACTAGAATTAGTGGTGTTGAGATTAAGAGACAGAAGTGTCTTACATTCCGTTTTTTTACTGAATTCCGCGAGACTATTTGAGGGGTTGCATATGATTGCTTCAGCAGGACGTTCAACTCACATGGAGTTCAATTACCTTCAGGTACTGAGCTTTTGCCGCACGGCGGGTGGATTGTGATCTTCAACATTATTGTGTTCCCGTTTTTGATAAGGGTGTTCATGCATCTGGAAAGGACGAACTTAAGTGTTTTGATTTTAGAACTCACATTCTTTTCCATGAAATAAGAAAGAAGAAGGTGACGTAGAAAGAGAAAGAAAGAAAGGAATAGAAAATTGAAACCAAACAAAAAAGCAATGTTTGGCCGGAAGTTGAAAAAGCCTACACTCGCGTTTATTATTGCCGGCCTACCTTGTGTGTGATGAATGCTGGAAATGTATATTGAACTTCCTGTGATTGTAAAGCAATTGATGTCAAGCACTACATGAATACTTCTAAAGTAAGATCGTCGATCACAGAATGTCAACTAGAACTGCAACCTGAGAAGGTGCAAATTTAATAGTTCATGTTACAGTGATGATAATGCTGATTCCTGAACAATTGCGACGCATTTTTGATGGTCGTTCTTGTACTTGTTCGCAGAGAGTGAAGGTTTACCGATTGAATGATGAAGGTAAATGGGATGATAGGGGCACAGGTCACGTGTCTGTCGAATATCTAGAGGTAAATTCTTGACCTAAAAGTCATCAGTTTAATTTAACGAGGATTTAAGCAAATCTAATGTCAAACAGCTGACGCCCTTAGTAAAATCGATATTTACAGTCGGGTCTCACAGTTACTAGAAACTATCCTACATTTCAAATGGGCCTGTTGCTTTCTGCCAGTAGGTTTCACGTGTACGAGCAGTAAAGTGAGCCTTATAGTTCTGGAATTACAATTGGTCATACTCGCACTTTTGGTCAGTGGCTAAAATCCCGAAACCTAGGTGGCTTTGGAATATGCTTCAGAATGCCATCTTTGCTAAATATCGGAATTTGTCTTGTGATGCTTGAGTGCTTAGCTTCAACTTGATAGATAAAATGATAATCGTACAATGGTATCAGAGGTACCGTGATCTCTGAAACTAAAGTTTGATAGGTGAAAGATTGAAGGTTTGGATAGACATATATGCGTCAAATATGTATGGTATGGATACGAATTTCTGCAGTGGTTTGAAAGTGCATTATATATTGGAAGCCTTTCAGCACTGCGTAAGCTAAGCGCATTGGTTGGTCTTTTTTCGAATTCAATATATTCCAGTATACTTGCCTGGAGTAATGGCACGGTACCGAGCAATTTGTAGGACTTATTGGGATTTTAACAGTGAAATATGTAGGGCCTTCATCATATTTTTATGTTTAGGTCCAGTGAATTTTTAAACATGGACATACTATGACTAGGGTTTCTTGGATGGCTGCAGCGTTCTGATGCAGTAGGCTTAGTGGTCATTGATGAAGAGGACAATCAAACACTTTTGGTCCATCGAATATCAACTGATGACATTTACAGACGTCAAGAAGGTTAGTGAACATATGTTTTTCAATACTTGTATTCTTCTGTCTGATCACACACTTCTGACGCTAGAGGTCCAGGGTGCAGGCTCTAATATCTGCCGAAAATTAGTACTATAATCTGCCTTCAAAATTTCTACCTAATCATATCTTTGGTACTCCTGATTTTAATTCAGATGAGTAGTCGATATTTGACATTCTGTGATCGAAGAAGTTGCTAAATGATGGGTCGCCTAGTTAGAAGGTTGAGACTATTGTTGTATGGGTCAGAGTATTTGTTGGCACCGTTGTTACCAAGGTTATAAACTCAAAGCTTGAAACCTCTTTGATATACTTGAGATTATTCTTCTGAGAGTGTATATATATATATATATATATATATATGTGTGTGTGTGTGTGTGTGTGTGTGTGTGTTGCAGATACAATCATATCATGGACAGACCCAGAAGTGGCAACAGACCTAGCACTCAGTTTTCAAGAGACGATGGGTAGTACTTTCATATGGTAAGTTCATTTACAAGAACTTCTTTCTTGAAGTATGAAGGTTCTGTAGGACGTACGAGCTTAATGTATGCAGTTTCCAAGACGAGGGCTGTTACACTTTTCTTGTTAACCAAGCTTGGTCGTAAATGTATTCGAGGGTTTAAAGTTACAGCAGTCTGAACCGGGAGTCCGATGTTAATGAGTGTAAACGTAAGCTTCGGTTAAAGCCTGGGTAGATATTACGTTGGATCTAGTGTCAATTACTTTGAAACATGTTGTTTCGCGTTTCTTTTAGCTGGATCTTCGTGTTTATTTCATCCAGGGACCAGATAAGCAGCGTGCAAAGATCGATACATTCCCCCTCTGTGGCTGGTATGGCTTGTGAACAGCTGTTGCGATTTGATTGATTGGCTGTTCCAGATAATCATTGAGTTAAGGAATGCCATAAGCTCGTAATGTATGGATGTCTTTACAAGCGTGGTTGACGGTGAAACAGGGTTGGATAGTGCCGGTCGGCCTGGCTGTGATGATTTGGAACACTCTGGAACTTCTCAAGATGATGGTAAGGTTATGTCATTTTACCAGTAATTTTCATATCTAGGGATCGGCATGTTCTTGTGTACCTATATGCCAATTGTTTGATTGAGACCTTTGAGAAATAACGCGAGACTTTTGATATAATACATCCTATAAAATCTTCACTATTCGAACTGGTTTTGTCTTTTAGTGTCCCAACTGGTTCTTTAAGTCATGTATCTGAAACTGAGCTATTTGCTGCAGTGAATACAAATACAGGATTTGTATCATGTGGTTCTTTGAAATGGGACCTAATTTCTTACAAAGCACATTTTGTGAAGGTGGAGGCAGCGAAGCACTTGAGCTTCCACCGGTTGAGCTTTTTAATCTTTCTCAGATCGCCAAGGTGTGTTTCAAGTAATTTATAGTAGTGGCAGAATTTCGTGCACTTCGGTTTTGCTACGTGGAGTCATAATAGCGTATGCAGTTTACTTATCCTTTATGCCAATAGTATCATGGAACAACCATAGAATCTGATCATATATGTCAGTGAGAAGCTGCAAATGATTGTTGTGGCAAATTCAAGTCGTTTTCGGGGATATTCTGTTTGGAACGATCTTGAAGTCATTTAGAGCTATAATTCTCTTTTGCTGTGCTGGCTGCAGGTTATTGGAGAAGTACTACCTTTTGACAAAGATAGGTTGGCTAGCATTGTTGTACGTAATGTAAGTCATGGATTCACATTTTGTTCTTGATATCTATTCTGCTCTTATCTAACAATGAGCCTTGGTGTGTGTGTGTGTGTGTGTGTGTATGTGGTTTATTTTGTTTTATTTTATTTCATTTTTTATACCCCTCTTCCCAGTTACATAAGTATATTTTCATTTTACGTATGTTTTGCTTCCTGATGGACGTACTGCACATGAAAAATATGATACTTTACATTTGGATGGGTTATTTGTGTTTCAGCAAAACTATATCCGCAAGCTGGTAAAGTTATTTCGCACTTGTGAAGATTTGGAGAACGATGAAGGTCTACAATCGATGTTCAGAATTGTGAAGGGACTCAGTAAGTTCACCATCCTGTCTGGTCCTTCGTCTGTACTTTTTATCTCTAAATTAAGTATGATTCCTGGATATTTCTTTGTGTGCTCTTAGGTTTGACATCGTTTATGGCTACTTAGTTTTTTGTATTTCATTAGTCTAAACTTTGTTAGCAATTGATTTGTCCGGAATCCCTTTTCGAGTCTCATGGTTCAATCTCTAAACCTGTTTTTGTCTGCTTCTGGTTCTAGTTTCAGAAGGGTAGATGATCGAATTGGAAGGTGGTCCTTAAGGTCGTATTGTGCTGGTTCTACGTATTGTTAGCGTGATGGGTTTTGGAGTGCCAAAACTTCCGAAGTACAAATACCTCGCAATTGGTGTTCAGTTTCAATCTGAGACATTTAAGTTGATCTGTGTAGGGCTCTATGTTGTTTGCAGTTTCGCTCAATGATGGGCATATTTTTGATATCATCTTCAGCGATGAGTATATTATGGACATCGTTGGAGCCTTGGAGTGTGAGCACTTTTACTTTAGCTTCATAAATTATTCATGTAGCCTCTATTTCATATACTCGAATGAGTGCAAACATATACATGTGCATCGATGCGAATATTTGCAAGTCGGTACAAATGAATCATTTTTTACGACTGGGTGTAGAGGGTAAATGAAGAATGCAATTTGCTACTTAACCTCTGCATAAGATCAACTTTTTGTAGAGAACCAAATGGTATGTTAGGAACATATTTTCTATTCTCGACACACAAGATTCTGGGTTCTACCTGTTCTCTCTATTGAAATTCAAACATACTAATGACAGTATGGTATTCTCATATGCTCAAAACGTTCTAGTTTACGAGTTGCAGTGATTTGGTTCTCTATCTTACTAAATTACAGCACCATCATAACCAAATATTATGATCTTGAAGCGTCAAGATCATCGTATGTGTTTACCGCAGGTTATTACCAAATGGCTTATTAGAATAGCACATGTTGTTCATTGCTATCTAACAGCATAGTTTTTTGAACGTGCTGTATGCTTACAGATGATCCAGGATTGCCAATACGCCAAAATCATCGGACTTACCTTCTGGAGCACGTTAATTTGAAAGAGGTATAGAAGCATTATCTGTTAGAGCGTTGCTTAGCTCTTGACAATTTCTCACGTTCGCGATGTACCTGGATTATGACATTCAATTTTTTGAATCAGAAATATGCATATTCTGCGGAAGAAAACGTATTTTTCTTTTGAGGTGTTATCTCTGCTCTGAGACATGAGCAGACTCCAGGTTTAATGGTTGAAATACAAGTTGATGTTAAACTAGAAGCTCACAAAAAGCGTTGTCTCTATTGTGCACTTAGGTTGTTCCTATCCATGATTCAGCAACATTATCAAAGATTCATCAGGCATATCGCATTGGTTATATTAAGGTAAGTCGCTATCTTTTCAACTTGTCTAAAGTGCTCCTTGTGATGCTTCCACATTAAAGGTGTTGTTCTAGTGCTGTAAAAGCTTCCCTTACTTTTCAGTTGGATGCCATGCGGGGACAGCTGTGCTTTAATTTCCTTCCACTTGTTTTGTACCAAGAAAGATGTTAATGACATATGTGGTAAATATGTGATGTAATGTGCATTCTCGATCTGAGAAGTGTTACTATGTTCTTGTCTTTTTAGTGCGAAGCTCTGGAGAATGATCCTAGTTTTCTCGCAATTGTTAACACCTTTTTGGGGACTGGTCTTCTGTATTGAGGTAGCGATTTAAAACCAACATATTATATTTTGTGTAAAGGATATAATTTTACCAAGGGCGCTGGATGACCAGACATTTGCGACGATGAACTCCATTATTCTTTTCAACAATGTTTCAGTAAGCTCGTTGTGTTTAAGCAATGTTGTTGATGAGGGCTTGCAAGTAGCTGGAGTGCATACTTAGGTACTGTCAAATGTATTTACCGTTGCTTCATCTTGTCCATTTTAAGCTATAGAGTTCCAAATGGTTTCGGCTAGTTGTTTTCAAAAAGCTTTAAACACGGATTAAGATTATTTTAATTACTGTTTTTGATCGTGTAGCTAATCTACTTGGCATTTCTCTATGTAGAAGCAAAAACTTGCTGACACTAGATATTCATACTCTAATTTTAATCAAGTTAATTAGTTAGTGTTTTAATTTTTAATTTTTTTTGGTATGTTTTTTTTGGTGAGGTTTATGTCATAGTGGTAGAAGTTTAGAAATCCGTGTAGTCTTCTTCCAACCCAAGTGGTCTGTAACTTTGCTGTAACATTTTGTGTGGGTTCTGTATACTTAGGTGGTATCAGCTCTCCAGAATGACTTGGCCTTTCTTTCGGAACTCTTTTCAAGACTACGATCACTTGAAACATCTAAAAAGAACAGACGAGATCTGGTAGGTTTGATGTGCCGTTACTATGCTCGCTGGTTGTTCATGTATTTGTCAATGCTTGAGGATCTTTATACACGGTGTTTCCTTTTTTCACTTACTCTCACTTTATATCTTCTTGTTCAGGTGTTTTTTGTGCAAGAGTTGTGTAACTTGAAAAAACATCCTCAACCAGCAGTTCGAAGCCAGCTCTTCAGGTGTACAGCTTCGTTTAGAATCTGTGCCTCCTGGAGATGTTGTATAAGTGGCCATGTTGCAATTGGGTTATAAGTGTAGTCAGGGACCAGGATTGCAGAGCCGACTACTTCTTGTGGGCATTTGCTATATTTTGTTGATTACTATTTGTTACTTTGAATCCAATTGAACTTGACAAATTATATGTAAATATTGTGAGCTTTCACAAGAGCTTTGAAACATCGCAGAAGTGTCTTGCGAGTTTTTTCATCTAATCAGCTGTTTAATTCGAATCATTATTTTCCTATGTGGCAGTGCACTTGTCAAGGAAGGATTGCTTGATATTATGAAAGACATACTTAAGGACACGGACGAAACTGTTCAATTGAGTGGGTAATTTTTTTGACATATCTGTCAGTTTCTGAGTGAGTTTGCGAGTATTTTGTTCACAAGGATTGACTTGTATCCTTTCAAAGATTTATGTGTTCAACAATTCAGAGTTCATTGATGATTGCGAACCTTATAATACAGTCGTTTCTATTCGGAAGGTGTTAATTTCTCTTCGAATTGTAACCTACTTGGTTATTGTGTTTGGCAGATGTGATATTTTAACTGTGATTATGAACAATGACCCGGCACTACTGCGCGGCTTTTTAGTGCAACAAGCAGCTCACACCTTATTCAGTGAGCTGGTGCGTATTGCTTCGAATACGATTTAATGCTGAACATCACCTTAGCACTGGAACTTCCACAAGCCTAGAACACCAATTATACAAGTGCTGAGCTGAGTACTTATTACAGTTAACGTATTATCAAAATTATTGTTCTTACAGGTTTCAGGTATGGTCACTCAAAGTGAAGGTGGACTCCAAGCACAACTTTTGGAAATCATACGGATGCTTTTGGACTCCGAAACCATGGAAGCAGTATGTATTTAACAGTATCTTTTGACTCTTTCACGTTCTTCTTTTACATTATCGCCCTTGTATTTCTTGTTATCTGACCTTTGCTCTTTTTATTTGCCCTTGGTGAGTTTTTTATTTTGTTTTATTTTATTTTTTGTGCTGTGTATCTACTCCTTTAGATTTTTACACTCAGTCTTTGCTGAGTTGAATACAATAATTTGGACATTTTGGTCATCTAAATTGCTTCCTGCGAATCTTAAAGAAGAGCTGCTACAGTTATTGATTTCTTTGATGTGACTATGTGGGGTTTCAGTCGCAAGTCGAGAAAAGCCCGTTCTTGGAGGTTTTCTATGAGAAGTATATGGATCAGATTGTTGAGGTCCTTATTAGTGGTTGCCCACCCGAAGTGGGGGTTGTTGAATCCTCCAAGCACGTTAATCGTCAATATCAAATCAAGCGACCTGTTTCTCCTGAAATTCTTGGGAGTATCTGCGATCTTCTGTGCTTCTGTGTCCAACATCATCGTTTCAGAATCAAGTAAGTTCAGAGGGCATTCATGACCTATTTCGTTCTTTTACTAGCGTGATTAAGAAAAGGGGCTGCTTCATTTTTCTGCATACTCTAAACGCAGATTTTTATGCTCTTATTCTTTTGGCGCAGGTATTACGTGATTAGGAAGCATGTGGTGGAGAAAGTTTTGCGATTGACACGCAGAAAAGAAAAATATTTAGTTGTAGCAGCAGTGCGCTTTTTAAAAACCTGCATTTTTTTGAAGGTTAGTTGTTTGGGCTTACTGCTTACTTTGCTTATAGTGTGGTATTCATATTGGTTTTGAAGATGATTTATTGAGGAGCCGGGATACAGTCATTTACCTTGTTCGATCAAGATTTTACTTACTGGGTCTCTACAAATTCATATCATTATCAACTCTATGGTGTCGCCTTGGTAGTACCAGGATTCTGAAAAGTTCAAACTACTAATGGTTTCCCTGCTATCAGGAAGAATTTTATCACCGATATATTGTAAAGAATAATTGGTTTGAGCCTATTATTTCGGCTTTTGTTGCTAATGGGACCCGCTATAATCTTCTGAATTCAGCTGTTTTAGAGCTCATTGAGCGCATCCGAAAGGTTAGTTCATTCATCAATGCTCCTTTTTTGTTTACTTTTAAAGTCATGATGTTCATGGTTTGTACATTGTACATTATTCCTGGCGTGGATAGGATTTCACTTCTAGATATCTCCTAGTTACGATTAGCATACATGTCTGAAGGTTCACGCAACGTGGATGTTTGAAAGCCCTGGAAAGAGTCATTGCTTATGATTGCATGTTATTCGCAGGATGGCATCAAAAGTCTGATTGTACATTTGATTGAAACATACTCATCGGAATTGGGGACCATTGATTATGTGAATACGTTTCAGGCTTTGAAGTTGAAATATGACCAGGTGAATATGCGGTTTTATTTATGTACGATCTAGTTCTGAAATAATGTGTCTAGTATAATTTACAAGTGTTTTTTGCTGTTCTCCAGCCACTGAGTGTACTGAAATTGAATGATGGATTGCATTCGGTGCGTGGAGACTTGGACTGTTTAGAATGTGGTACTCATGTACTAGGAAAGTTTTGCTTGGTACTAGCTGAGTGACGATCTAGTGCACTATCTTGTAGCGCTGGGGACATGTGTATGGTTTTGTGAAGTGACCACTAAGTTCGAGGAGTGATATGGCTTTTCTTAAGTTGTAACACCCGTACTTTTATAAGTTTAGTTATTATTTTAAGCCTTAATGGGTCTACATTTTGAATTTCTAATTTTGTATTTGGAGATTTTACAGATGATGGAATCCCCGTCTGGTTTTCCAGGAGGTAGTGTGGTTAGCGATGGATGCGAACATGGTTATTCTAGTAACAGTGAAACAATTGGCCAGGTTGGATTATCTGAAAGTCGTAAACGCAAAGTTGAATGTGATTTAGATAAAGATGAAGAGGATCATATTAATGAAGACAGGTACCTATTGGGATACACCCGTGCTTTGCTTCATTAAAGGTTGCTTAAGATGTTTTTTTGGTTGAGGCGCAACATCGAATCTTGGAAATTTTGTCCTTCAAATTTTGAGCATTAATTTTAGCTAATCTCCACAGTTCCTGATCTATGAAATACTCAGTTCTCTTTGTTGCCTTTTTCTACAGTGATGACGAGGAGGACAAAACAGTTTCTAAATTGAGGGCATCCTCAAACTCGAAATCGTTGAGTGCTGGATCACTCAACAAAAGCGGTCTTCTGGACCAGAAATCTCCCAGGTTATCATTATTGACATTCTCATCACTTTGAGTGGTCGCTCCATTGAAGTATTGATGGGATCTTTTCTGTCTAAAATATGTTTGTTCATTTTCTGTCAGGAGTGTGACGTACCCCATGTTTTTATTATACACCGTCAACATGCTAGGTGTAATAATCTGAACCGATTAGTTCTTTTGATGTTAACAGTAATGTGGAGGATACAACGACTGCAAAGCTTAGAACTGCTGGAAATGAGCAGCCAACTAAGGCAGTGATATTAGTAAGCCAAAACCACGTACCGTTCAGGTTTGTGTTGTTGCTAACGTCAACCTTTGTCCTTTCTAGTTAATCATGGACGTGGATCATTTTCATCTTTTGATTGATTTGATTCAGTCACTTTATTTATATTTATATTTATATTTATTTATTTGGAATTAAAAAGAAAATCCTAAGGTTCTCCTGACGCTGATTGTAAACACATTAATAGTTGAAGTTTGGTCATAGTTCTGGTTATCGTCCTCAGGGGTGGATAGTGTTTTTCTCGTTGTTTTTTAGGGGTAAGTTTGGCTTAGTAGATTATGAAGATGAGGAGGATGAGCTGCCTATGAATTTGGGCAGCAAGAGGAAAGATGGAGACGGGGTACTTGTGAGCGAGTCTGACCGCCTGCTCGCGGCAGTCCCACTTTCAGATCCTATATGGTCAAATATGGAAGATGCAACAGTTGCTAAAAGAAAATCACATTCTGGACCAGATTTGGACCAGAATCATGCAAATTGTTTAAAGAAACAAAGATCTGAAATGGTTCAGGAAACTGGAGACTCGAATGATTCAAGTAATGTGACTTGTATTGATGACTTAGACAAATTAACACCCTCCGTGACGGGTGCTGAAACTCGAGGGGTAGCGGAGTCAACAAATTGTTTTCAAGTATCTGCTTCCTCTGAGAATCCCGTATCAAAACCTGACAGTGTGAAGATATTCCCCTTCGAAGAGCCAAGGAATGGCTGTCAGGAGATGTTAGCGCTGCCGGCAGGAAATGCTATTGTCGTTGACCGGAAAACTTTTGATTCAGCTTCGGAGTCGGACACAACAACAAACCATGTTGATGGTGGAGATTCTGGGAGCATTGTTGATACAGATACTGCTGGAAGCGTCTTTATTTCAAACGGCAAAGTGAGCACGTTTTCACGAAGTGCTAATTGTGTATTAACGGTGGCAAAGGACAAACAAAATGTAATGAATGGGGCAGCAAACTCTTTGATTGAGCAGTCCAGTAGCCATAAGGAAGAAGTCTCAACATCCCCAGGATGACACGAGGACTCATGTCTGCACAATGATTCCAGCAGCTTCTCAAGAGCAGTCGACGAGTGTGGGGGAGAGAGTCGAGTTAAACCAGAAGAGGTGGTCCGCAACTTGACTGCAGAGAGGTATGCAGGTGAAGACGATAAAGGCGATTCGTTAGGTCAAGATTGTAATGGGACAGCCACTGAATGTGTAGAGAGGGTAAATCACGGGACTGATTTCATTAAGGATTCTATTGCTGGTAATGGCGGCACCCAACAGCTTAATAATGGCAGTTTAGATAGTGAAAAAATAAAATTGACTAGTTTGGGCACTGACCTTATTAGGGCTGTGACACCGACGTCTCTAGGACCCTTCACAGTCCGATAGGGTGGCCCGATTTTCTCTACCTCAGGTACAAGGCTCCTCTGGAGCTTAATCTCAATTATAATCGCCTATTGTCACTTTTACAGCCTCTAACAGCACTTTTCTGTCTTCCCATCACAGATTCTTTTTAGACAGGAAGCCACGGAGTAAAGTTGAGCATCATTGCAGCAATCCTCTCAGATTTTTTCTGGATTCTTGAATCTGGTTGTACCTAGCCCCCTTGTTCAACACTATTGCCTGCTATTCCACAGATGCAAACCTGTAGTATCGTGTGGCGTCAGAATTTGTTCACCGTGCTCTCTCTGCCTCGCTTTGATTCCTTCTGCCGTGCTTCATTTTCTCTTAGTTCTGGTCTTTTATTAACCATCAAACTGCTCTTGTTCTGTCGTGGTCAAGCCAGTTGTATCCTCCGGTAACTAGTGAGAATGATTCCGTCTACTTATTTGCACCCAGCCCTTAAACCATTATTTTCCCTGAGTTAATATCCACAAATATATGGGGATGTCATTGTCAACAAGAAGTGAGATTTTTTCTCTTTGCATGGTTGTGAAGCTACATCCCAAATAGTTTGTATTTAAGCTTTACCAAGATTCAAGAATGATCCTTTAAATTAGAGGCATTCTACACCAACTTAGATTGTGTCATAAGGGTGATTCATGAAAGGTGCTTCTAATGGAGTGGTAGTTTGGTGACCTAGCTATTTACTATAACATTTTATTTAACTACATATGCATCTCATGTTGTGCTAAATTTGAGTTGCTACTTTTTAAAAACAAAAATTTGTAAGTTGGATTAAAAAATTAAGAAATAATTTCATATATATTCTTTAAATATCTTGGAATATCAAGAATACTCCTCACATTCTTAATAACAGTAGATGTATCCCTTGTGGTTATATCCTACTATATAATGATTCAAAAAATCGTTTCAATGTTGAAATATTTTGGAAAGAATGGTGTATTATAGATGAATTGTAGTGAATAATGACACGTGGTTTGTATAGCAAATATAGTACTCCTTTACAATTACCAAATGAGTCGAGGTTGAAAAGAATCCATTAAGTAATTGCGGAGCTATGACCAATCTAATATGGAGTAGTTTTGAAACAATTTTTTGAGTGTGGTGTCTAATTTTTGGATTCTATTAATTATTCAACATTATAACATTCTATCATCATCAAATTTACTATGACAATATTATTACTAATCCAATGACATCATTAATGCTTACTAGCATCTATAAAAATACTATTTTTAATCACAATTTCTAGATACAAATATATTCGAAATTATCACATTCTAAGACCTTCTAAAATCTTCTACAAATTTCTAGAACCTTCTAGATACTTGTAGAATCTTCGAAAATCTTTTAGAAAGTTCCATACACTTATAGAAGTCTCTTTAGACTTCTTGAAGCTTTTTTAGATTTCTAAAAACTTCTATAGAAAATACCATAGACTTTTGTAACTTTAATTATAGTATAAATAGGAGTCTTTGGAACCACTTTTGCTATCAATTTCATTCTTTGTCTTTAATCTTGACATATTTCTTTGTCACATATTTGTGTCCTTAACAATTCCTTGAACAACTATGAGATCCATTCTCCACTCTCTCTAAGATAACATCATCTTTGTTCTTTTTCATTCTCAGAAGTCTTATGGCCAATTTGCTTGTGAACTTGGGTGTAGTAAAATTACTATCTCTAAAAACCTTAAGAATATTATCAGTAATCTTGTGTCAATCCAAACCATTGAAAATATTCTAAGAAATGGAATATGAAAACCATGGTAAAGAAGAAAAAGCCACTACTATCTACCCGCCATCGAAAACAACACTTTGATTTTACTTTGAAGTACAAGGAATAGACTATGGAAGATTGGAAGATGGTTATTTGGTCAGATGAGACAAAAATCAATAGATTTGGGTCATATGGCAAAAAGTGGGTGTGGAAACAAAAGAATCAGTCCTCACTTCACAAAAAGATCCAAAAAATAGTCAAGCATGGGGGTAGAAATATAATGGTATGGAGTTGTATGAGATAGAATGAAATTGGAAAGATGGCAGAGGTTGAGGGGAGTATGAATGCCAAGCAATTTGTAGAAATTCTTGAAAAAAACCTATTCCTTAGCATTGAAGAATTTGGCATTTCTGAAGATGAGGTGATTTTTTAGCAAAATAACGACCTCAAGCATAACTCAAAAGTAGCATAGAAGTGGTTTGATCATCATGGGATTAAAGTAATGGATTGGCTTGCTCAATCTCTAGATCTTAATCCCATTGAACATCTTTGGAAGCACTTTAAATGCCAGCTCAATATCTAGAAGTTAAAACCAAAGGAAGTTTGGGAATTATGCAAAAGAATAGGTGCAAAATGAAATAATATTGAATCAATTTTGTACCAAAAGTTAATAGAAAATATGCCTAAGAGGTTGGAAGCAATTATCAAGGCCAAAGGAGGTCCTACAAAGCACTGATATGTAATTAGATACCACATTCAAAAAAATGTTTCAATATTATTCTAAATTAGATTGATCATAGTTCCCCAATTACTTGATGGATTTTTTTCAATCTGAACTCATTTGGTAGCTGTAAAAGAATAATTTATTTGCTATACAAACTAGGTGTCATTATTCACTATAATTTATGTGTAATACACCATTCTTTCAAAAATATGTCAATATTGAAATAATTTTTTGAGTCACTATATATAAAAGATATATTTGATAGATGCATTCTTGATTTCTTAGAAGCTTCATAGATACGTATTTGACTTTAGACGTGTTTGTAGTTGATTGATATGTTAGAAACTTGGCCAACAAATTAGCCACGTATTGCATATGTTAGTAGCTTGTAGAACAAGCTAATTACATGGCAAATATATATATAAAACATGTCTTGTAAATTAGATATGTTGTCATGTGGTAATACAATTATATAGTGAAAAATAAAAATATGGATGTTATTATAAAAGAACCTAATAAAAAGATGTAGTAGAAAAATAAGAATAAATAATAGAAAAGTAATAAAAAGTTTATTTTTAATATTATTTTTTATAGAGGGAACTTCTATTCACTTTATAGAGGCATAAATGAGCTAAATCAAAATAAATGAGCTAAGAAATTGATATAAGCATATTTAGAAGAGAGTTAATAATATGTTAAAGCAAAAATTACCTCAAATTATCAAAAATTCATTCTAAAGAAGACTAATTGTCAAGTTAGGTTGAAATCATATCATGAGGCACAAAACTACTTATCTACGGCAATTCTAGGGTTTTTTTAGCAAATCAAAGAGTAGGATTTGATAGAGATTTAAGTTTTTTTTTTGTTTTTTTTTGTTTGTTTGTTTTTTTTGTTTTTTTTGTTTTTTTTAAAGAATTGGTTTCATGTCATTTGAATTTATACTCAGGTTTTGAAGGATTTTCAAAATTAGTGATGTACTTGTTGGATTTAGATTTTTAAAAAGAGCCAAAATCAAGGTTTTGTGAGTTTCATAGGATGTTTATGGATGAAAATTTGATAATTTGTTGTTGTACTTGTCATAAATGTGTATGAGAAATTTGAAGCCAATCGATGAGTTAAATTGATGCACATGAGGATTTTCAGGATTATAGTCTTGAAAATAGGAATTTAGAGTATTTGTGAGTATTTTTAAGATATTAGTCAAAACTACATACCTACGGCGACTCTAGGGTTCTTTAGATTGAAATACAATTTTACTCAAAGATAGTTAGCTTGATTTTCAATAATTGCAAAAAGTTTGAAATAAATTGAATGGTAAAATTAAGAGAATTTGGTTTGAGAATATCAACATAAAAGTTGGAGAAGAAGGCTAGCCAATCCTTGAGCAAAGTTTTGGAATTATTGTCTATTTGATATAATCAATCTTCTTAAAATTTTTTAAGCTTCTTTCTAATGTAGTTATTGCATGGTATGCAAATTTTGATTCAAAATCAAAAGTTCAATCATTAGCTATTAAATTTCTTAATTTGTTGTAGGATTTATTTAGAGTTTATTTAAGATTTAGAATTTGATTAAAGTTTGATTAGGATTGATTTAGAGACTAGGATTTGATTAGGATTTCATAAAAATTTAGAATTTGTCTAGGATTTGGTTAGGATTTAGAATTTTGTTTGAATTTGATTAAGATTTGTCTAGATTTAATTAGAATTTGACTAGAATTTTATTAGAGTTTGTCTAGAATTTTATTAAAATTTTATTAAGATTGATTTAAGATTTTAGGTTTCATTAGGATTTGATTTAGAGTTTGATTAAGGTTTATTAGGATTTCAATTAGGATTTTATTAGGATTTGACCTAAGATTTGATTAAGGTTCATTAAGATTTCAATTAAGGTTCCAATTAGGATTTGATATTGGATATGATTAAAGTTCATTAATATTTGATTAAAATTTATTTAAAATTTATTTAAAATTTTTATTTTAATATTTTTTTAGGATTTTTTTTATTTTTTAAGGTTTATTTTTATATTTCTTTAGGATTTTTTTTAAAATATTTTTTCTTGACATTAATTTATGACTTCTTTATATTTATTTTGTAACTTCTTTTAAATTTAGTTTGAATTGATTAAATTTTAATTAGAATTATTAAAGATTATTTATAATTTATTTAAAACTCTAATAGACTTCGTAGGATTATTGTTGTATTTTTACTTATCTTCTACAACTAAGTGCTTGGTGCATTCTCAAGAAAGAATATACATAATACGACAATGTGTTTTGCAAGTTGGATACATATCAAAGGACCTGTAGAATGTTGCTACATAGCTCTTAGTTAGATAGTATATATGGAGGCAAAAGTGAAGCCTTCTTCATTTTTATTAATATCTTTCTTCTTCTTAAAATTAGTCTCAAGAATCTATATTCTTCTTATCTTTGATAATAGTTATTTTAGTCTTAATACTATAATATTTTTGGAGTGAATATTTATTCTTCTTGAATTACACAAGAGTGTTGTGAAATTTTTCTTGTTTTGATTCATGTTCTTGATACATTTAGATATATTAGACTCATGGATTTATATTTGATTACCAAAATTCTTGGCTAAATTAAGGAAAAAATTAAGATTATAAGATATCTAGTCTATTTGAAGGTTACACTTTTTTAGCTACAATAATCTTCAATTAAATTGATTAAAATGAGATCTAATTATATTAAATATT